CCCCTCACCCAGGCTGGCCAGGCACCCCAGTGGGGACCCCCACCCTGATCCAGGACACCCTTCAGGGCAAACCAGCCAGCCCCCACCCATGCACCAGGCCTCTCTCTGTACTAATAAAAGGGTAATATGCAAATTAGACCAGGAGACCTCCTGGAAACCTTCCAGACTAAGCCATGGTGGCTGGGCCCAGGCAGAGGCGGTTAGGGGCGGTCAGGCCAGGAGAGGTGGCCAGTTGGGGGTGATCAGGCCGGTGGGGGGACAGTTGGGGGCGAGAAGGCTGGTGAGGGGGCACAGTCGGGGGTGAGCAGGCCAGCAGGCGGAGCGGTTAGGGGTGATCAGGCAGGCAGGGAGGTGAGCGGTTAGGAGCCAGCAGGCCCGGATTGCGAGAGGGATGTCTGCCTGCCGGTTAACCCGGATTGCGAGAGGGATGTCCAACTGCCGGTTACGGCCCAATCCCTGGCAATCGGACATCCCCCAAGGGGTCCCAGATTGGAGAGGGTGCAGGCTGGGCTGAGGGACACCCCCTGTGCATGAATTTCGTGCACTGGGCCACTAGTAGTTTTAAAAAAACACATGGCAAATACTCCTGAACATCCGGGTCCCGCCTCACCTGGGACCAGTCCATGGCCACCCACTTGGGGCAGTCGAAGAGGTTGCAGGTCTGCATGACCTTGGGCCGGGGCGCGTACATGCACTTCCACTCCTCCACCTGCAGGATCTCGCCATGCAGCGACTCCTCCACGCACACGAAGCTGCGGCGCTGGGTGCCGCCGCCGCAGGACACGGAGCAGGCCGTCCACGGGTTATGTTCCCAGCTCGGAAGCAAACAAACGCAAGCACGTTACTCGGTTACTCGTGTGCTGGCCGCACGGGTGTGGCACGTCTGCAAACAGGGTGGCGGAGAGGATCACAGTTGTGGTTCGGCTCAAAGAGCACGGGATGTGGGGGATTCAGACTTAAGTCTTTATTCACTCATTCATTCACTCATTCACTCACTCATTCATTCATTCCCTCATTCACTCACTCATTCACTCACTCATTCACTCACTCATTCATTCCCTCACTCATTCATTCCCTCATTCACTCACTC